AGGAACAAGTAGTATTTGCCATTGCAATATGGCAAACAGTTCTTGATCCGAATAATGAAAGTATTTTAATAAATGAAACGTTAATTAAAAATAAAGTAGAAAAAAATAAAGTGAGTTTTAAAAATCTTTAAAGTATTATAAATTATTGCTAATAATATTTTTAAAAGAGAATTAAAAAAGAACTTGGGTTTAAAAAAGAAAATTCAAGTAGCGAAGATGAAAAAATGACTGATTCACGAATTATTACTATAGAAGATAATTCAGAGAAATGTGAAAATACTGAGAATGATTTGAGATAATTACTAAAAAATAGAGAATTAGAAAGAAGGATTTTGATAATAAGTAAAGACTTAGACAAATAAATAATATAAACAAAAATAATATAATTTTAAAAGTCAATAAACATTTAACATTGAATATTAATAGATTATAATACATAAATATAAATATATTTTATTATTATTAAATTAAATCAAAGATCTCCAGAATTTAATATATTAAATTTCACTTTAGAGTCTTTTAATGATGACAGAGGTTTTTCAGATATCTTTACTAAAAAATTTCCTAATATAAGTATTGCCAAACTAGTTTATTATTGAATTGAAATAAGGTTAGAATAAGAATCTATATAAAAGATATTAGATATTAGAGAAGCAATTATCAAATATACTTATTAAAAGCAAACACCTTATACATCTTATAACTTTTGATAATTATTTTAATATTAATTAGATAATCATTATATTATGATACTTTTTCTGAAAATTATAATCTTAATGCCTACTGGATTTGCATATGAAATGGCTTCTTATGAGAAATAATATTTTTTATAGGTTATAATATCAAATACTATATTAATACTATTTAATTGCCTTTATTTAGAGTTGAATTGATATTTTGTAATTTGACTTGTAGAGTATTAACCACTATACTATAGATCTACAGATTTTAAAACTTTTAATATATATTACTTATAATAAAAAAAATAATATATTAAAGTTTTATAAATATTTAATTGGTTTAAAATATTAAATTAAGATTGAAAAAAATTTTTTTTTTAATAATTACAAATTTTAAATATAAATCTATATATAAACTCTATTTAAAAAATTAATTATAAAATTAAAAAATAAAATTTTAACTTATAAAAAAATCATTAAATATTTTTTATCATATTTAAATAAGAATATTAAAATTACTTTATTTTTTATTTTGTAAAATTAATTATTAAAAATTATAAAAAAATTAATTTATTATAAAATATATTTTTATTTAACAAATTTATTTATTGAAATAATTTTAATAATTTTTTATTAATAATTTTTTTTAATTAAATCTAAGAATATTTTATAATACAGTATATTTAAAAAAGTTCATTAAATAGATTTATTTTTATATTTTCAAATATATATATATAAACTTTATTTATTAATTTTTAAATTATAAAAAAAATTAAAAATATAATTGATTTTAGTTTTTTTTTATTAGATTGTATATATATAATTATGAAAATTAAAAAAATTTTTTAAATTATTATTATTATTATTATTATATTTTAAAAAATATATTATTTTTTAAATTAATTTTGATTTTTAATAAAAAATTTGATATTAATATATATATAAACAAAAAACATATGCAGTATATTTTTAATATAAATTTTATTAATAAAATAGTTTAGATCTGAAAAATCTAATTTAATAATTTATTTCTATATAATTTAAATCTTTATAATTAAATTTTTAAAGTTATATATAGCAAGATCTAAAATAGAAATAGAAATTTAATATTGATTTTTTATTTGAATTCATGATTAAAACTTGAGATTAAAAGATAATAATTAATAAATTTTATTAAAATTTTTTATAAAAAAAAAAATCAAAAAATATTTTTTGACTTCAAGTTTTAAATATATAAAAAATTAATAATTGTAAATAACAAAATTACAAAAAAAAAAAAAAATTCTATAAATTTGATTACGTACTTGTTTATTTTTTATGCATGCAGTATATCATAATAATTATAAATTATTTGTAAATTGAATTATTGTAGATATTTGATTTTTAAATGTCAAATCACATTTAAAATTTTAAATAAAATAATTACACATTTTAAAAATTTATATTTGAAAATATTTTTATTTTACTTTTTAAAAAATATACTGTATATAACAAATAAAATTGATTAAATAAATTACGTAATAATTATGTGTGATTCGAAATTACATACATGTATTAGCAATTATCAAAAATGATTACAAAAATCAATATAATTTGAGTAATTATGGAATGGCCTTGCCTTTAAATCTCAGTTTAAAAATATATGAAAAAATTAAAACGTAGAATTCAAAAATTCTCAAATTAGACTCAATGCCAAAAACGATTAAAGTTTGTAAAAATTAATGTAATTTTGTGCAAATAAATATTTTTATCAAACACAAAGGTTACTTGGAAAAGAGTATCCTTAAAATTTCAAATAAAACGAGTTCGAATTTTGATTATCGTAAAACTTTCAGGTATAAAGTTTTTGCACCTTTTTACGATAATGTAATTGATTGCTAACAAGTAGTTATCGATGAAAGTAAATGATGATTTTTTTATTAAAATGCTGTAAATACTTTTATATGCAGAGATAATATGAAATTTCTATATGACTATAAATACAATTGAATGATTTAGTCCGTATCAACATAAATATTTATACCCATCTTTTCTAAAGCTTCTTTGGCCTTGGGTTGATTATTATGGGCCGCCAATCTCAAGTATTTCTTGCCTTTTTCCAGATCCACTTGTATCTTAAGTTTACCATTCAAGTACAAATCGCCCAAGTTAAATTGTGCCGTAGGATTATTATTATCAGCAGCTTTTGTTAAATATTCAAGGAATAGCTGACGGTCGAATTTTATTGAAGGGTTGTTGACCAAAGAAAATGCATAGCGTAATTGAGCATCTGCAATACCATCGTCGGCCGCTTCTTTGAACAACTCGCTGGCTCTCTTACGATCTTTCTCGACAACGTATCCTTCCCATAAATAATATCCTTGCCAATATTTTGCGGTTTTGTTGCCCAAATCTGAATGGGCGACGAAGCATTCCCAGGCAACATTTATTTCTTTTCTCTTGTGTGCTGCAATGCCTTCCTCAAGAGACAACAAGGTTGGTATCGAATCGATACTGAAGTCCATGTCCATATCTGGCAATTCCATACCACCATCATCACTAATGGAAATCGGTACAGGCTCTTGACTCGTTCCATCCAGATCTAACTTCTTGTCTGGAAAGAGCGAAGGCGAAGTGGTGCCCACTTTACAATGTTCATCAGCTAGTTTATCAAGAGCCATGAAGATTCCTTGGAGGGATATTCGGATCTGTGGATCGTCCTGCCAGGCTTTTTTAACATAAATTAATAAATAAATTAATAAATAATGACAGTATATAAAGAGCGTAAAAAAAAAGACACAAAGACATACCATCTACTATGATTTTTGCATAGTCCTTCTGGAGTTTCTGAATATCTGGCGAAGCTTTACCCCAACTGATTTTTTCTCTCTTTCCAGATAACACGTGCTCCTTTATTTTTATCATATCCCATTTTTCATACGGAACTTTTTCAAAAGCAAGTTCCCAAAGTAACATTCCGAAGCTGGTTTAAAAAAACCGGTGTAATGTTAATCGCATGCAAAAATGAATTGGTCACATTTTTATTGTTACGCACCTAAAAATTTCGCATTTAAAATTATAAGAAACAGGCTTTTCCCGAGTGTGTTGCAATTTCTCGGGAGCCATCCAATGCACGACGTCCGTTATGTGCTTCATATCGGAGGTTGGACCGTGGGACATACGAGAATAGTTGAAATTTGAAATTTTAGGTTCCATGCGCGCGGTCATCTAGAGGTGCATTCGTTGTTAGTGTCAATGGTGCTGAATTATTATTTTTTTTTTCCTTAAGAATACTTTATCGGATCGAATCTCACCATGATGTTTTGACATCGGACGTCGTGATGAAGGATATCACAAGAATGTAAAAACGTTAACCCTCGACAAATGTCAAGGGCTATCAAAACTTTCGCATGCCACGCGATGTCGTATTTATCATAAACTTCTTTTAGAGAACCCATTTCCGCCCATTCCAAAACCATAACTTGATTATTATCAACATATGAAAGACCGTAAAATCTAAGGATATTTGGTGAATCCCTCAATTTTCCTAATATGGCAAGATGTCCTTGAATTTTCTTAGCATCGGGCGAGTCTGTTTCGGGAATATTTATAGGTTTACATGCGACCTCTTGGACTTTGTATATTTTCTTAAGAATACAAGGTGCCTCTCCTCGGCGATCAGTTGACCTTCCGTTTAAGGGATCAGTTAACTCGACCGGTTTTATTTCATTTGCTTTCATGTTCCAAATACTCGGGTCATTTTGAGCACTATTCATATGTTCCACTTTGTCTTTCATAATCAACACCTCCTGTAGAACAATGTTAATTTTGTTGTTGTTATCAATGATACCACCCTCAATTCTTCCCAAGAACTAGTAATGAAAATTTAGTATAAAAAAATGGTTAATTAGAAATTCGATAATCCAGGGTCAAATCAACACGACACTCACCTTTGTCATCTCTGCTATATCAGAAGTCAGAGATTCTTGATCGAGTTTCCTCTGTTCTTCATTAGCAACGGCCATTGTAAAATGTAGATCACTCATCACCGTATCAAATTCGTCGGTAATTGATGTAAATTTCTCTTTTACTGAGCTAGCATGCATAAACTTTTTGTAACCTTGTAACTGCGATACATTGCCGATGAATATTTGTATCTTTTTCATGACATCGACGAAACGAACGAATGCCTTATAATATTCCAGATTGCGAAAATTTTTTTCATTTTCTGACTTTCTTCTTTGTAAAGTTTTAACGGCTGCTTCTGCGGCAGTCACGCGATCCATGAGGGAGTTGCATATTTTCTTATTATATTGCGCCGTCTCGTAGATATCGACGATTTCGGATATTACGAGGGTTACAGCACTGATTAAGGGCAGAAAAGGTTTCACTGCTTCTCCAACAGCACTGGCAGCACCCAAGAACTGTTTGGTGATCTCTATGCCGCTAGCGGCACTGCTCATCGAACTAGTGATGTCAATTGCTGACCCAATTACGACGGGGGCTGCGTTTAAAACTGTATGTACAGACATTGATGGTATTGAAAATTCTAAGTTGGTTTGATAAAAAATGTGATTTTAGGTTTGTTTGATAAAAAATGTGATTTTAGGTTTGTTTGATAAAAAAATGTAATTCTAGGATATCTATAGATGACTCAATTGAAAAACAGAAAACGACTTTTTGAAGCGAATCTTTTATACGTTTTGCACTGTTTAAGAGTGTAGGACAAAATCAATTGTAAGTTAAATATGGCCTGAATGGTATTCGCGCCGAGCCATTTACTTTGTCACTTTGTTCCCTAAGGAAAAACAAAGTACTACTTTGTTGACCTTTGAACCAGTCATTTTTGGAACAATTTCT